TATATATATATATATACATTCTTCTTTATTTATATATTTATAGATAACAATTAATGTTAGATTATATTTCGAAAAATATTTTATAAAAGATTACCGTGTCCAGCAACTCCACATATTTGAGTAACCAAGCGTAATAAATTAAACGTAAACCTATCTGCAAAAAAATATTTAAAAAAAATTTAAGGAACAAAATAAATTTGAAACAAAATATGCATTAAATTTACAAAATAATAAAATAAAAACACATAAAAAAACGAAATATTTGCTAGTCATTCCAAAGAAAACCTGAAATTTGGCTGCCATGAATTTCAGTTTATTTCTTGGCGTCTAATTAATTTATTAATTATAGTCGCATTTTAATTAAACAGCAAAAAAAATATAATAATTTTAATCAAGAGTTAACAGCAGTAAAGCTTATCTAAACAAATCTTTGTCTTAAAAAAGGATTGTGAATAATTAAAGAAGTAAACATTAAACTTATACAATTAGTTTTCATTATTAGCAATCAAATAGTAATGCGATATATGTAGTTGGTAATTCTATAAACAAATAACCGAAAGTGATTCAATACATGAAATCGAAGAAAAATATGCATTTATGTATATTATGCAAGTTTATTATGAAGTTATGGATAATTGCAAACCTTGTGTGGGTAATATTCCAAACGGAAAAGCTGCGAAAGCAGAAAAAGGTCAGATATGCTTGCAATTACAGTTAAATCAACTCAAAAGATGCATAAATAATTTTTATACAAGTCATAAATATATTGACTTCCAAAAGTCAATTTACAGTTTTTTTTCACACGTCTAATTTAAAAATGACTAAACACCAGATAGGATAAAATATGTACTGAACGTTTTTTTTCTTTTAATGAGACAGAAATTTACATAAATTCACACTCTACAATTGTTTACAACTAAAAAACAACACTTAGCAGAAAAGTCTTTTTTCAAAGAAAAAAGTTATATTTTAAAATTATAAATTTTTATACATATTTATAAATTTAACTGAAATCACTGTATTGAAAAATAAGACGGATTCTTGTATATCCTCCAATATACTTGTTATATCGCTTACTTAACCAACTGAAATCAAAGCATATTTGAACACCTATGTTGTTGAACTTTTGAAACACTATAATAAATGAAACAAAAATGATTTTCTTCTTTCTTATTCGCGGAAGGTTTTTCTCGAATTGAATCAAAATATTTTAGTGGTCAATAACTTGAAATATTTATCATGTGTCAATATTTATCGTTGTCTATATTTTTCTACACTTATCTTAGATCAATATTCTTTGATTTATATCATGAATTTGATATTTATTTTAAATCAATCTTTATTGCAGTTGATATTTGTCGTTATCAATGTTTATGGTATTTCACGCTATATTGGCAGTGCATATTTTAAATATAATTATGATGATAATTAAAAAAATATCGATTTTAAATTTTTTTTATCTTACTTACGATATATCGACAGAATGTATTTAAAATATCGTTGTCTCAGTAATCAAAAAACCTCGATAATTTACGATTAATCACTCAGCACACACACACGTAAGGAACAATACACGTAAGGATACACCATTTCCCACAAAAGCCCAGAAACCAGCTAAATATATAGTAATATAATTCTGAGATTGAAATCCAGATTATTTCTGTGTGCAAAGTTAGCCTGAATTGATATCTAAGTAATGCTTATTTAAAAGTATATGACGTACTACACAGACGGATTCAAAGTAGAAAGATGAACTCCTCAAGTGTCTGATATGTTAAAAAGATTCAATGTATACATTTTTTGAACCTGGCACGCTTACCGAGGATGTTCTAATTCCGTTTATACGTTCAATCCTATTACAGAAACAAATTCTAACAGAACAGGATTATTAGTATGAAGATATGAACAGGATTATATCAAAAATTTGGTAAGCGCATTTCCTTTTATAACCATTGTTGAAGAACAGACCCAATTCTGAGTTAACGACTATCAATATTCAACTCAGTCTTGCAATCGTGAACCCAATCCAGAAGACAAGGGAACTCTTAGATCAAGTATTGGGACATAATACAGTTCATGGAGGGCTTTTTGATGGAACTAACCCAATGTCTTTTTACGTCGTATGCTAGTAAATAAACAGCCTTTTTAAAGCTGAATAATCTATTTAAGCTAACCCTTCATATCTTAATTTGGAATATTATTTCTTTGAAAAACAATTAAGAAAACAAAACACTGTACCGGCGCATATAGCTGATAAAGATGTCTTGGGCCAGAATGCACCACACATCTGTATTTCCACACGTCTCTAAGATAGCTAAACAACTAAAATAAATAAATGGGATTAAGCAATAGGTAAGATACTAAATACGTTAAATAAATAATCAAGAAATATATTATGTGTGCACGCTTTAAAACAAGTGTTAGAAAGTGGCTATCAGTGAACCACTTAAGCAGTGATTCTTGAAATTGCCCAATTTTGTAATTTTATAGTTTGTTGCTGTCATCAATTAAACTATGACTTTCACTAAAAGACGTATCTAGATGAAGACATAAAATTTGGAATAGCAAAGTAAATATTGGAAAAATAATTAAATTACGATTAGCCCAAAGAAAAGAACTAGTCGCCTTTATTGAACCAAAGATCTGATAGCTGTTTCAATTTTTGAACCAGTGTCGCCATAATCAGTAAAATGTGTAAAGGCATGATTACGTTTTTAATGCTTATTAAAAAGCAACACAGACCGCAATAAATACATTAAAACATAGTTTAGTTTGCAATTTTCACCTATTAGATCATTAACAAACTATAGATTCAATTACTCCTGATAGGTTTAAGCTATATACAATGGTTTTTTATTGCGCAACTTGAAAATGTTTGAAATAATATTTACCAGGGTATGATTTTAGTGGTTAGATTGCCATCATTTTATTCAAACAAACTCATAACACTTTTTAAAGTTTTCCTGGTTAATACGATCCTATTTATAGATCCTATATATATAGATATAGATCCTATGTTCTCTATATATATAGATCCTATGTCCGTAAATTCGGTTATAACAATACATGCACTGTAAAAAAATTGTGAACAGCTGCCACAATTTTTGATGTTGAGGTAATTTAAAAATTAATTTACAGTGCATGAAGGTCATATTTTTTATCTACTTTTCAGCAGTTACAGTTTTATGCACTTATTTAAAAATTTTTGTTTCTTTGTTTGCTAGCTTGTTTGTTTGTTTGCTTGCTTGCTTGTTTGTTTGTTTCTTTGTTTGTTTGTTTGCTTGCTTGCTTGCTTGCTTGTTTGTTTGTTTGTTTGTTTGTTTGTTTGTTTGTTTGTTGACAACACATTTTTTCATGCGCATCAGAATCATATTATTACTTCATTACAAAAATATTTCGTTTAAAAAATAAGCTCATTTTAGTAATATATTCGCACTAATCCTTTCAAACAATTATTGTTTTGTCAAATTTATTTAATCTTTTTGAACGATAAGTAAAGTTCTTTACCTATAAATGTACTTAGTTTACCTCCACTCCAAAAATGCAAGCAATTATACGTCAAATTTTTTTACAATGTACAGCAATCATTAATAATGACAAAAAACGCTTATTTGAACTGTCGTCATAACTGTAATTGAATTTTTAATATGTAGTGTAGGGGGTGGTCACACCCGTAAAATAAAAATATAAATACAATAATACATATAATATGGGAGAGAGAAATTTTTAAAGAAAGGATAAAAAAATAAAAGAATATTCTTGATGAAATGTATATAAAAAATGAAGCAAATATTTTCTTACGTAAAATGTTGCAGTAGCATTCAATAGAGATAACATTAAATTGTATGTTATAACAATTTTTCTTAAACTTAACGGTCTTCTGTTTCTCATTGACAAAGGGATTATCCATTTCACAAGTAGAACGTAAGTAACCAATATGCAATAAGTAATCCAGGGTTTTTTAACCAATATTGATTCTTTAACATCCCCTATAAAGAATATAATCATTAATACTTAATCGTATATTCATTTAATTAGAAAAATCTAAAAAGCATAGTTTCCACCCGTCTTATAGTTGCTTGTTTTAAATGCATAACTTTTAATAATGCTGAGCCATGAAAGTCAACTCAACTCAACTTAGTGGCGCGACAGCCCATAGAGGACCAAGGCCTACTGTGCCCATCTCAGTTTTCTTGACCTTTGTCTCTGGGGTGCAGAAGCAGATGTTCCGGTTAGTTGGTCAGCCGAACGCTAAACCTCCAGTGTTTAGCTCCCAAGCATTCTTGGTACTCATTTATCGACCCACTGAAGGGATGAAAGGTTAAGTAAACCTTGCCCTGCCCGAGGATCGAACCCAGGACCTGTGGCGCTGGAGAGCAAAGCGTTACTACTCAGCCACTGGACGTTTCCACCCGTCTTAAAGTTGTTTGTTTTAGATGCATAACTTTTAATAATGCTGAGCCATGAAAGTCATGAAGAAGAAATTCGAAGAGAAAAAAATAGTGGTTCAGGAGGGATTTTAAACATTAATTTTACACAATATTTTAATTCACAGTTAATCTATAATTTGATGAAGTGCTTGTCGAAATGCAATAGTAAGACGCATTTTTTTTTTCAAATATATCATTTAAAAAAATTTCCTTAATCTTGTTTTCTGATGTATATAGGAAATTTTATTCCAAAAATGTTTTTAATATCAACCCAACTTATAGAAACATTTTATTTAACCAAATCGGCTATATTAGAAATCATGATGTGAATCATAAAATCTATTTACGGCTTTTTAATATTAAGTTAAATTTTAGACTTTTGGAAAAATTCCTTTCCAGTTTAAAAAAAATACGATTGAACATGCAATGTATTTAAAATTCAAAATACATTCTAATTTAAAAATATTAGGAGGATGCTTTGCAATTGAAAATGCCTGACTTATTAGATTTAAATGTGATGTCAAATGCAAATTTTAAACAATTTAATTCATTTGTGAGCTTAGAAAGTTAATACTTCTCGTGAATTGCAGTTAGTGGTAAACACATTCGACAAATTTCTGCATAAAACTGTAATGCACTATTTTTCTGGGATGTCTTTTCTATAATACGTACTTTTATGTGGTAAATCATGCTTGTATTTGAATTTAAGTAAGTTTTGCATATCGCATTCAAAAAAGAAATGCTATGTGAACAATGTCGCTTAATTTCTTGTTTCTAAGATCATTCATTTTCAAGTCAGATTCTTAAAATATGTTTGCCTTAACTTCTGGAGGCTATAGTAAAACAAAATGGTGGATTATTGTATTAATATACTAATCAATACTTACCTTCAGCTCTGAGGAAGTCGTAAATATCTGTTAAAATCATTACAAAATACTTGAAGAGCTAAAAAAAATTTTCTTCTGTGATCCTGCAACAAAGAGAAAACAGGTATTTTTTATGATTGTATGTTTCAGCCGACATGTTTCGAGCGCTCAAAAACAGGTGCCCGTTTTCAAGACTTGCCAGACGGGAATGAGAAGAAACAACTTGATAGTATAGGGAGTTACCGTGAAGTGTGATCCATGTGACAAAGGAGAGAGGGGAGCCGTGATGGCTCAGGGAATAGAATGTTCGCCTTCCAATGAGGTGAACCGGGGTTCGATCCCGGCGATGGCTGGTCGATACGAATCCCGCATCCGGCTTGCTCCGACCACAGTGCTGACGTGAAATATCCTCAGTGGTTGACGGATCATGGGTTAGAGTCCCCTTGCCATCAGGCTAACCGTGGGAGGTTCTCGTGGTCATCCTCTCCATGTAGCGCAAATGCGGGTTAGTTCCACCAAAAAGTCCTCCACGAAAGCAAATATCACCCAATACTTGATCCAGGAGTTCCCTTGTCTTCTGGATTAGGTTCAAAATTGCAAGGCTACGGAGTTGAACATTAGTAGTCGCAAACCCAAGAATTGGGTCGGCTGTTCAATGACGGTTATATAAAAAAAAAGAAAGAAGGAGAGAGGAAGTAGAGGGTCAAAAATATTGAAAATGTATGACATCATTTATAGACAGCCCCTAGTGCGAGAAGAAATTTTTTAATATTTCTTTGAAATTTTGTGCATTCACTATGAGACGCTGATCACCAACCGCTGTGGTTGTTTTTCATTCATCATAGTGCTTTTTTCCTCCAATATTAATATTTTAAAAGGGAAAAAAGCGTACACTTGTTCACAAAATATGTAATTATTATAATTTGATGTAAGAAATTTTTTAATATGTAAATCATAATGAAATGAATGATTACCTGAATAATCAAGTGTACTTGAAAAACGAATACTTAAAAATACAAAATATGTAATCATAGCATTATATCATGTAAGAGTTCCAATTGGAAATGGCTTTTATCTCACTTGCGTCTTTTATAATTTTAAAAATTTCTAAATCGATGTTAATATTTAAATCTGAACACATCTAACCTTCCTGTCTCTTTTTGTTTCATTTTATTTAGCCATTTCTTTATGTAACTTTTTTACATTAAATCAAGCAAAAACGCTTGAGAGAGAAACAGTATTTTCTTCACTATGGATAAATAGTAAAGAATATAGTGAAAAATTCACTAAAATTACAATTACATTTGAGCAAATTGGCTAAATTAGCTAACGAAAAAAACTCGTATTAAGTTCATAAATAAAAATAGCCTTTAAAGCAAGTCAAATTTCAACGGGCTGTAGATCACCACGCTTTTTTTTTTAGTACAAGTTTAGCAGTTGATAATTCGCAGGCCATTGATCAAATATTATTTTTCGCACTTTTTGGATAATTTTCAACACACCATCGTGACCAGCATCGCACCCAACATAAATTTCTAAGTCTTATGGCTTTTGAAAGCAAAATGAAATGCAATGTACGGCAAAAAGAAGTGAGAAAGCATAAAAGCACTTGAAACTGCAATAACTTTCAAAAATATTTGAATATCTGAAAAAACACGGATCAAGTTCATAATAAAAATGACCCTTTAAGAAGATCAAATTTTAATTCTGTAGATGCCAGCGGCCTGCAGAGTAGCCCGCATATTATTTTTTTTAACCACACGCTTAACTGAGAATTAATCTCAAACTCATTATCTAATGTTAATTTTTTATTCCATCGTACACCTTGTACATTTTTTGTACACATCTTCATAGTCTCACGTTTCTTATTTTACAGTTTTTTTACAGAATAGCAAAATGTAATGTAAAGGTGAAAACCACAGTGGTTGCCGCATTTACGATTTTTTAATATATAGAAATTTTGTGCATTCGCTACTTTAATTACATGTTTTGACAAAATACAGTTATGCATAAAGTACATTAAAAAAATTAAATACAACTTATTTATTTATCACAAGTTTTATTAATTTTACTTTGATGATGGAAAAAGAATGGTTTTTCATGACCTCTTTAAAAACATATAAATTTATTTTACTTTCGAATTACAATTTACGAGGCAATAAGACAGACAGCAATTTTTATTATCACGTTGCTTGAAGCCTGGAATTAATACTTGAGGATTTGCTAATGCTTCTAATAATGCATGAATATAAAGAGAATTTAAATGTAAAGTAAATCAAAAGAAAATGTAATGAAAAAAATGCTTATTTTTTTAATTAATATGCAGAATATTACGGCAATGGAATGAATTAATTGAAAACCAAATGAAAAAATCACTAACTTATGAAACTAAAAACCCATAGCTCGCGTAGTCTAACTGAAAATGAGCTTCCCAAAAAAACTTTTTTACTTTCTTGCTACCAAAATAACAGACGATACAACAGAATAGAAAAATATAATATTAAAATTTGCCACAATTTGGCATTACATATGTATTTCCTATCTTTTTAAAAATATCCTTCATTACTTAAGCTTATTTTTATTAATAGAATTACATTTAAAAATAAATCAAAAACTTAATCTTTTTAAACGAACATAAAATATTTATTTCTTCTCTTCTAGATCAATGTAACGGATACTTTTTTTATTTCATTACTAATGCAGACATATTAATTCACTGTCACCTCTAATCGAAAACAAAAATCTATTTATAACTTTTTATTCTAATTTTCCAACGGCTAAATGTTTCGGTTGCATGGTTGTAATAATTCACATAAATTTGTTGGCGACTCGTGATCGCCAAGGTGGTTTTTTTTACATCCATGTTGATATGCTAGTTGGCTTTGTTTTGGCTATGGTATATTAGGAAAAATCGCCAAATTATGGATCTCCTACCCATACTTTCTCTGTCCGTTGAGAATAAATATATTCACTTTTAATTACAAATTTGTGAAGGCTGGGAGCCCTTTGGGGCCTCCCCAGTCTCAATTTTCTAACGGTCAGAAATGTTGTTCTGGCTTTATGATCTCTCAATAGAGAGTATTATTATTTCATCCCTTTAAGGGATTTCTTATTTAGGATGAAGATGTGGCCACTGTCGAAATTTTCCTAATATACCATAGCCAAAACAAAGCCAACTAGCATATCAACATGGATGTAAAAAAAAACACCTTGGCGATCACGAGTCGCCAACAAATTTATGTGAATTATTACAACCATGCAACCGAAACATTTAGCCGTTGGAAAATTAGAATAAAAAGTTATAAATAGATTTTTGTTTTCGATTAGAAGCGATAGTGAATTAATATGTCTGCATTAGTAATGAAATAAAAAAAGTATCCGTTACATTGATCTAGAAGAGAAGAAATAAATATTTTATGTTCGTTTAAAAAGATTAAGTTTTTGATTTATTTTTAAATGTAATTCTATTAATAAAAATAAGCTTAAGTAATGAAGGATATTTTTAAAAAGATAGGAAATACATATGTAATGCCAAATTGTCGCATCACATTAAAATTATTAAGATGTTTACTAAAAATGTTCTTACCTTTACACCGGAAAATGGGACTTCTTACTTTCAAAAAGAAAAAAAAAAGACCAATTGGTTTCAACTCTGTTAGCGTTTTTCTAATTAACCTTCCCATTAACGATTTCTTCAATATCAAGAAATTTTTTTGTAAATTTCATGTCCTAGAAATTCAAGTAGTTAACATAGATAACGTATCATTAAATCATCAAATGATTTTGAAATAAGTAAAATATTAATAAAATGAAATTAAATGTTTATTGATGGTACCGCTTCATATTTCAAAAGCAATATGATTGGTTAATCGACATTCACTTAGTTTATGATTGTTTAATGATCATCTTTCTTCATTAAGAAGATTTTCCTTCTATGAAGAGTTTTCCTTATTATGAAGAATATCTGTGAATCTATCTTAAGAGTGATTAAGTACAGAGGTTATAAACTAGGTGTGAACGTAAAGGATGTCATTAGGATTTAAAAAAGCATAACAAGCCGTGGCCAGAAATGTCCTCATACTCAACTGGGGTGGGGGGAGATGAAGAAAAAGAAAGAAATTTACCATTTTTGAAGCCAATCATGCTTAATTTTTGTTATCAAGTACTTATTAAAATAAAAAATAAGCTGTGTTAAACGCAAAATTAATGGAACCAGTTTGTTTATGAAAAAAGCAAAAACTTGCCAAATTATTATGAATTCAAAATATGCATAATTGATTTTGGTACGTATTAGTTAAAATAAAAATTCAAAAACAAGCGAAGTACTCTATGTACGAAATTAATGGAAAAAATATTCTAATTTGTTTAGGAGGAAAGAGTAAAATCTCCATACTACCTTTGATGCCAATGATGCTTATTTAATTTTGGAGACAGGCAATACTGGTATTTTGGTAATTCGTGCAATTTTAATAGGTACCAAATATGCTAATATAAGTAGTATTTAACGATTTAATTTGTGAATTTAACGTATAACCAAATAGACACATAGGTACAAAATATATTTCATTAGTACATTTGGTAGCTATTAAAACTTTACCAGTATTGTGCAATTTTAATAGAGATAGTGCGGAAAGAGAGGGGATTTTTGGCCTCTCTAAAGGTCTGGTTTCTTAGGACAAGCGCCTTATCTGGGCGTCAGCGGGACGTCAACGTTGCGCTGACGCCAACAAAATACTGGTTTGTTAGATCAAGGCCTGGTTTCTTAGAACTAGCGCCTTATCTGGGCGTCAGCGGAAAGTTGACGTAGAGCTGACGCCAAAAAAATACTTTTTTGTTAGCTCAGCGTGAGCAGTCGGTCCAACGCAGACATTATCTCTCATTGCGCATGCGTTAATAACGTAAACAAATATTTATTTTGAATTTGTATTGATTTTGTTATTGTCGACCAGTGTTTTAGAGAACAAATAATGACTTTGTCCAAGAAAAAACACATTATAGCTGAGCTAAATGAAGAGTGCTATGTTTAATGAAGAAGCTATGTTTAATGTCAAAATCAAAATCTTGGCTGATTTCAATGTGCTGTTGGATGTTGTCCGCCATTGCTTCTGTGGTTAACGTCACGTTGTAATTCAACTGCAGTTGAGTTGGACGGCAATTGTAGTTCAAGATGAGCGTTCGATGACGTATACTATCAAACTCACAAATGGACCAATCAGAGGTTAGCGCTGATTTCCAGCTGACGGCGTCCATGACTTTTGTGTACCCTTTCTAAATTTTTCGTTACGCTGTGTGCCACTAATAAAAAAAGGAATTTATTTTTTACTGTAATAAAATTGCACAAAAGTTAAAAATCACAACTGCTCCTGACACCAATAATTATTAACTGTTAACTCTGTTAAAAATAGCCAATAGAAAAATACGTAATCGTACATTTTCATGGCTAGCTTTGTTTTTAAATAAAAAAATTTGAAATTTTCGTTTGCTGCAAGATATTTCGCGTAAGAACGCTTACCCCTACTAAACTGTTCCCGTACCCCTGGGGGTACGCGTACCATACTTTGGGAAACACTGCTCTAAGGGAATAAGTACCGGGAAAAATCGTTTGACTGTGGCTAATTTTGACTATCATCAGTTGGCAAGCAACGACATCATGACAAATGAAATTATTATTGTTATTATTGTTTATTTTTACAATTATTGTTTATTCCGATGGAATAAACTACAAAAACTTGTTTTACTTAACTTAATTACGTGAATATGCCAGGAAGGACAAAAAAATAATAAATTTTAAAAAAGGAATTATTATTTTAGCTTTACTCATTGTGTTGTTATAGGTCTTTAAATTTAGTGCATGATATCGTAGTGTTGCTCAGTACTTAAATATAGATTAACTTTTTTTCACCCCGTATGAAAAACGTGCATTTAGTTAAGTTTTTCTAAGTTATTCGGGAGATTATTTTTCTCTATAAATGTTGCTGTTGTCGACGGCCATTAAAGCAGAGGGGCTACGATTGTTCTTGTTTTTCAGTGGGATCATCTATTGCCGAGAATTCGACTTCCGCCACACCCATACGGCACGCCCGTTTATAGGGTGGACCCATGCATACATCCATTCATTCGTCCACAGACCGTGATTTTGTCCTTAACCAGAGAACGATCTATCTCCAATTCAATGCCCCCAGGGGTATTGATTTGTTATGGGGACATGGAGGACTTCCTGAGCCAACTGATTTAACGTGCACCAGTCACCATTTGCTACATGAGCTGGCTGGATTTGAGCACCCGTTCTCACAAACGTAGGTTCAGCTCATTGCCAACTAGGCTATCCCGGCCTTTCTCTATAAATTAAAAAATCATATAAGTTGCAGCTATTTTGGGTGTTCAAGTTAACGCTATAATTTGTTTTGCTGCACAAAAATTATAACAAAACTTTACAATAACAATTATAACAAAAAAAATATGCACTTTACTTAAAAAAGAGAAACATTAGATATTGCCAGTTATAAATATTAACCTCTACGTCGACTCAAAAGAACTAAAAACGGCTTCCAATTTAGACTGTTTTATAATAAAAAGATATCGTTAAACATTGTTAAAAATTAAAATTCCTTTTCTTTATTTACTTCCTATTGTGTCACACATTTTACATTTTTAGCTTTATTTTTTTTTAAAACAAAGGTAATTTTTATTTAATGCAAAGTATCTAAGTACAGTCGGCAAAAAAAAAAAGATATCACCCTGAATAATTTTCGTTCTAATGATCGGATTTTCACGAACTAAGTGTTAATCTTAATGGTTCCTGGGGGTGACCTCAAATATGCTAATTAATTAGTGCTAACTATTAATTAAGTTACGAAATCAGACACAAAAACGTACTTTCTCTGAATAAACATATATTTTTT